CCCGGGAATATATCAGCTCCAACAATGCAAGTACGTTCATCCAGGTCATCCACCTCAATCATCATACTGGTCTTCGGATTCAAATAACAACTTTGCTATCAGCTGGATGGAATACTTTACCATCATCAACAAGCAGAAATCCTGTTCAGTTGCAAATTATAGATAATCGTTAGAATTTTCAGTCAAAACACCAAATTTGTCATTTATAACGTCGTTTAGTGAATCACAATCCATTACCGAATATTAACAGTTAAAAGTAATAGTAAACTGATTTTATTAAGTGATCAGTGAGTTCATTTTCTTTCTTTATCAAACATCAATTCTCCCAATATTCCAGATGTTTAGTCGAGCCAAATTACTTCTTAAACAATAATGTAATCAACGGTGTTTTCCAGCATTTTCAAAGATTTCTGTAAAGCATTGATATTTTCCTCTCAGATCTGAACGCCTAAGAAAAGCATATATCTAGAAAAAATGGATTAAAGTTACACAAACACAATTACAATTTGTATCTTACCATTTTCCATAAGGATATATTGAAATCATAAAAGCTTTAATTGACAATGATACGCGCAGTGCTTGCACCAAATGTTGTAGCAGTGAGTAGTAACCAAATGTGTAAGTTTCATTTCTGTTTTTATCTTTTTTTCTCCCTCCTCAGTTTGCGAAGTATCCTTTCAATCCTGCAGATTATTTTACTTAAAATATAAATATTTTGTCTTCCATAAAAACAACCTCCAAATACCCATCGAACTGTTCAATTTTAAAAACTCAATGAATTCAATGCATCGTAATTTCTGGTGGAGATAAAACTGGATGTCGGAAACTGAAAATGCAAGCTATGGAAATTATTTTTAGCGGTGACCCTAATAATGATTTTTCTGTATTTTTCACAAATGTCGATGACGCAAGGATGGTGCTGCGTTCCACATCTATGTATATATTCGTTTCCCTTTGTTTATTTGTTTGATGACCGCGCCTCTTCCCCTTGTTGAATTCTCATTTAATTCTACCATTCTTTCATTTATTTACTTCATATTCTTATTAATAAAGATGACCTTCTACCCAATTAGTCGTAATGCAATGGAGTGGTGGAGACAAGTTTATAAGATGATTTTACTTGCAGATATTTGTACTGGACAACCTATTGCGGCAAAAACGTCACCGGGAATACCAACTGAAGGATGAGGGAAATATTAACTTCCTGACATTAATAAAATTTTTGTTGTAAATGACTTCATTTCATGATATTTTCAAAAATCAACGTTTCCCAGCATCAACAACAGCTGCATCCGCTTCAGTGATCACCATAGTAACACCATCAACAGTAACAGTGACACCTGAAACGCCACAATCAACAGTATCAGTAACAGGAAGAACCAGTAATATCCCCACCGTCCGACCATTTTATTCCGACTGGACTGCCTGGTCATGCACCGAAAGCTGTGGTGGTTGCAGCATTGGACGTAGAACAAGAATATGCTTGTCGAAACCTCTTCCTTGCACATAAGTCAAAGATCAATAAACAAAATTTGTTGCGCAACACTAAACAACCATTCACACTTTTTTTGGAATTTCGATTCAACATTTCGCTCGAAACGGTTTCAGTGATGCGACAATGGAAGTCAACGGTCAGAGTTGCAACCAACATCCATGTTCATTTGGCAAGGGATTGTGGCGTTACCGCCTCATTACATCATTACCGCCTCGGACAAATCAACGTGCTCATTACCGCCTCGGACAAATCAACGGACATTTTGTTTGCTTACCATAAGTTATGTATCGAATACTTCAGTCACTGATTCAACATGAAAATGTTTCGCTCAGTCCTTAAGCAGAAATTGATTCATTTAATGATGTCTGTAAACCAGAATAACTTAAAGGATTGTTGTGGTTACTGAATTATCACTCATTGCACACTACTTCAAAGCATTAATTGCAAATCGTTCTGTATAAACAAATCAAACTTAACAACAGCAGAGTAATGAAATAAAACAAAAAACTGACTGGGGGACCGTGCAGTGATACAAAAATTATAGGCGCGAATTCTGAGAGTTCTGCGGCAACTGATACCTCCCTCCTTATTTGACTACAGTCCCGCCAGCATTTCAGTCGACAACTAGTTCGAATATAAAATGGCAGATAAAGGAAGAGGCGGAGAGCGTAGGGAGATATATTCCACAAATTTTGTTCTTGTCCTCACCCTGCACCCGGTAATTTCTTCGATGCTTATTTCAGTAGTGTTACATAGGCCTTTACACATGTTTCATTTTCGTAATATTTTCAGTACTGGGTTTTATTGGCGTTTGAACTCTTGATTACCGTATTGTGGAATTTATATCAGTTCGAAGTTTTTTTCTTTTTCACAAAGTTTTGCTGTCGATATTTTCCTATTAAATTGTTAACTGGAACTTTTCTAGTAATTACTATTTTTCAGATGAACAGAATTGTCTTACCAGTCTTTGTAGACTTTGATCAAATTGATCAGTTGAATGGAATATGTGCTTAAAAAGCTTCGCAAGACACCGCTTTTTTTAAAGGCAGTATCTGGTGGAGGTGGTTGACCATTGAGCGTTTTTTCTAACACCTAATTTGAAACCGATCACTGGCGGCACGTATTTATCACCTCGTGATAAGAACGGTCGACCAGGTTTCGTAACGCTCTCAATGCTATTGCAGAAAAGGTTTTCCGTTTTATTTTAGCCTTCATCAGTTATATCAGCAATCAAGATTATTTGGATTCTCTGACATTCCCTATATCCTGACATAACTTTCCAGTGTGAAACAATGTTACATGTCAGTGGTGCACCGAAGATAAAGAAATGGAAAATATAGTAGAGTTATTTCTTAGTTCGACGAGACATTCAATGAAACCGAAATATGGAATGTTTTCATTTCCATCACTTGAAGAAATCGAATGGATGTGTTAAAATCATTTAAAAAAATACATTTGATGAGATGTACAAAGGATTTGGTACTTTGCCTAAATTCGCCAACTGTGGTTAGTATTTAAACAGCTCTTGTCATTTGAAGTGGTTCAAAATTTGCCTTGTAATTATTCGAAAGACTTTTGTTAACTTTCGTTATTTGGCATTTGCGGTACAACGGCAAAGTACGATACTGTATACTGTATGTGTACTATATATGTAAGTTAATGAAAACGAAGCCAAATAAGGTGCAAGAATTTCATGATCATATCGGCAAGATTTGTTCTTTTGTTTGGATGATGTAAAATGCACTTAAATTTAAAGCACTGTGAACCGAATGTGGGAACTGAAACGAAAAGGAGAGGAAGTGATCAGAGATGTATCATTTTATTCTTCATTCTTTACTTTTTGAAATTACAAGGTTTCCATCGTTATTCGGTAGAATCGAGATGACACGTGCCTCATTTCAAAAAGATGCTGTATGACCAGGCTTAGCTATGGCAGAGTATACAATTTATCATTTGATCACTGGTGAATTCACTGAAGTTGTTGGGGATATTGTAAGCTATGTTGACAATAATCTTATACATAAATGTATTTGCTTTATATTCATCAGTCCTAAGAAATTAAAACATATTTTTTGGCATCAAGAGGAAGAAACACATTTATGTTTGAAGAAATTTAAGTTTCAGTCCGGTGGTTTCTACAGTGCTGAAGATCCGGATTCGTTGCCCAATTTCAACTCAGTAAAGAAATGCCAGGAAACATATGTTTGAATAGAAAAAGAAATCGATGAAGTACTTAACAATAAGCCAATTGATAACGTTCGAGGACTGATTTGTAGCGAAAATTTTTTTTTAAATGTTATAACATTAAATCTAATGGGAATGTTCCACCTGTGAAGTAAATTTTCAATTCTTTTCCGTCTTTTTTCTTTGCATTTAGTTAGTTCCATTATATTTGTTTAGAATTTAAAATGCATGACTGGAAATAGGTTTTCAATAGAAATGGTTTAGCGTATAGTCAAATCATGCGCATGTTTAAAACGTTCACTTTTTTATTATCACTGCTTCATCTTTCAACCAGAGTACTAGAGCGAAGTATGTGATAATGAGGAGTGAGGAGTGCTTCCATAACACTGTCGTATTTTTAAAACTTTTTCCTTTATATTTATTACATATTTCGTGCAAATTGTCGGAAAAACTCCGGAAATCACAATGCAAATTTTCTGTCGGATTACCGAAATCAAAGCTATGTTCAAATGAAATTTCCATAAATGGAAATTTATGACAAACGAGGTGACAAAATCTTGTAAGTAAGATTAAAGCAATGAAGAGGATATAAGCTAACAATGGACAGCGTAAAACAAAAACGTCTCAGTACCTACACAATGGACAGTGCCAAAGGGTA